AGGTGTATCTTACATAACAAAGCTTAACGACACAGTTGGGTTTGAATTTTGAGCTATAACTTTATAGTCCTTTGCTTTTTAGAACTACCTTTTGGATTCATTTTTATTTTCTATTATTGGATTGTGAAATATCATGATTTTGGTCACTAGATATTTTCTTATATTTTATGTTTCAATTGGCGAAGATTCAAAGGAAAATTATGTTTTGCCTTTGCCATTTTCCTAGAACAGTTATCCCAGTTATGTTTTGCCAACTTGAATGCTTTTTGTTAACATTTTGAAAACTTATTGCAGGTACAAGCATCTCTTGACATAGCTGATCGTATGTGTCAGTCAGGTCTGGCTGTTTCAATTGAATTGTTTCATCCAATTTTACACGCATGTGAGCAAACTTCTCAGTTTGACCTGGTATATTCTACTTTCTCTTATATATATATATATATTTCCTTGAACTTTTCTTGATGTCTAAATGCTTGAATTATCTTGGGATCTTGGAGCAGTGAGATCTTTAACCATGAGGTTGGATTTGGACCTGAAACTATGAGAAATCCCTTAACATTTTGATAGAAGTTACAGGGGGTGGTAATGTTTCAGCAGCTTTGGGTATTTCTCTAACAAAAGTAGCACTTTTTTAGGAACCAAACTTTAACAATTATTAATACTTGTGGTCTTTTGCAAAAATGCTGTGTCAATCTTTGAGATATTTCCTTCAGAACTTTATATAGAGATTTTTCCCGTAGAATTCCCTTCAATCTTCCCCGATATTAGTCTTAATAAAGGCACTACGCTCCCTCAAGGCTATATGATTGCCTAATGCTTGAGGTGCTAGGTGCTAGCAAAGTAAGGCACTAAAAAGTTCTCCTGTTTTGCTTATAATAAATACTCTTTGCAAAGTATCATATGATTATTATCATATTAAATATAATACTTTAATTTGACAAAAATATTTTCAAGTTTCATTTATCCCTAAATGCCAACATGACAACTTTACCACCGATACTCTTTTTCTTATTACTAGATTTTTAGTCGACCAACTCTCTTCGATCTCAAAGCCTAATACTCATCATTATGACAATTTGTTGTAGTTGAACAAGAAATTCTTGCTCCTATAATTGGTTTGACAAGCTTTCTAGTCGGTGTCCTATTTTCTTCTTCATTTTGATGCTCTTTCTACATCTCTTTGTATCAAATATTTATTATCAAACATCAATTTGCCTTCAACATTTGAGATATTAGCATTCATCTCTCAAGTCTATCGCTCCATACTATCACCAATTCCATTAAATTCCAAATCTTATGGTGGGTCTTAAGAGTTTGATTTTACTTGCTGGACTTATGGCTGGTCTACTATGTTTTTATAAGTGAGTTCTGAAGTTTCTAAATATTTTAACATATTTATTATTTTAATATAGGTTCATCTTCATATATTTTGGTTGCGTATACCCCTAAATCATAATAAAGAAAGTTATGTTAAAGAGGTGAGCGCCTCATTGCCTAAGACCTCACACCAAGGCACTTGCATATGTGGTGCCTTGGTAATGGCACTCAATGGGAGTGTGATGTACTACAAATTTTCCTCGGGATCCTAGGCGGGCATTTAATATGCCTTTGATAACATTGAATGAAATATGGCCTCCCAGTTTTAATATTGATATTTTAAATCAACAGGGTTTATCAAATCTTTAAATAATAATAATAGAATCTTGAGAATGCAAAGAAACTTGAATAAAAAAACAAATTAGAGGTTGTGTAGAGGAGAGCTGATCAAGTTGGGTTGTTTAGAGGAGAGAACTTGTTTTCACGTTGATCTTTTTGTTATATTTTCTTCTACTTTAGGCTCACGAGTCTTTTTTGCTTGTTAATTTTCTGATTGAACTTCAATCTTTTCTACTTAAGGTTCATCAAATATATTCAATGATTTGCCATCATAACTTGAAGCCCAGTGGAGATACATTCAGAAGTTTGATAGTCTTGTGTGTAAAGATGAAAGATGTAAGTTATTTTTATTAACTTTAATCTTGTTTATCAAAACTGAGATTTTCGCACATTTATTACTTCCTAATATTTTTTGGTTCTGATATGTTAATCAACTTATTGTTGATACCTAAAAGTTTTGCCTACTGCTCTAATATGTGAAAAAAAGGTCGATTGCCAACACAGGTCAAAGAGGCTTCATATGCTATATGTAGAGATTAAATTATATATTTCTTTAAATAAATTGTTTTCTGAAATTTGCTTATGTCCATATTTTAGGAACTGACAATTTTGTTCGCTGTGCTGTTGACCTGCGTGTAGTGGTAATCTTTTGTTTTGTAGGTATCTTGTTCTGATCTTTCCATTTGTACTTGTGTCCGGAATCCTAGCATAGCTGCATTTAATTCCAATCCTCTCTACATCATAAGTAATGAACATATTGGCGAGGCGTCATAATATTGCTTGTATACCAAAATTTAAATATTCCGGTGAAATCACTACTCTAGCTCTACTTGTCAAGCAGAAAGTTAATTGACTTGACGTCCTTTTGTTTCAAACCTTTGTCAATATAAATTAAGATGACATCCTGAAATTTAATGCCGCCATTATTTTTAAAAACTCAGCATTCCAGCTTAATTTTCTTTTGGTTCAAAGGGTTTATTGATCAATTACCCTTCAGCTATATATATATATATGATATGAGACCAAATGCAAGGAGCTTCGTAAGAAATTAAAATTGAGTTGGCAAAGAAATTACAACTAATAACTTATGGCGATAGCAAGAAAATCATTAAAATTTCATAGTTATCAACTAGCTTAGGTGAAGAAGTATGTAGATTACATAACTCACTCACACACACAAGGGTAAAACAGGAATACTGAAAACTGAAAATGCATGAATAACTAAAAATATAAGCTCTGAATCGTGGCCATCGATCGGCGATGCTTCCGGCGATACACGTGTCTGAACCGTTGATCGATGACCTCATCAATATATATATATATATATATAGAAAATTCAAGTTGCTAGCCACAGTTGAGAATTAATGTCACCAAAATCAAGTTTTAGTAGATGTAGATGGTACATGAAAATCAAATAGAAGTAAAAAAAAAGCATTGCATTAAGCAAAAGCAGCAGAAATATGACATATAAAGAAAGCCTAAGTAAGTAAAGATACAAATATTAAGTAACTAATACTGAGCATTTTTGTTTTTCGCCTTCTTTGCTTTGTGAGCATACTAAGAACGGAAAAAAGGGCTCAATTTTTGTTGCTTAATACTTGTGTCTTTACTTACTAATTATTCCTTTAGAAGCCAAATTTCTGTTGATTTTGCTTTTAGCAATGCATTTTTCTTTTAATCTTCTGTTTGGTTTTCATATGCTACCTCTGCTTGCTAAATTATGATTTTGGCGAGATTAATTCTTAACTGTGGCTAGCTTCTTGAATTCGCTAATGAGCAGTAGTGGTCCAATATTTCATTTTTGGAAGAGAGGCACGAGTACCCTGCACCTTTTATTATTATTATAAAAATTGCTTTTGATTTAAAAATTATGATAATTGGGAAAGCTTTAAAGAGGTTCGTAAGGAATATAAGAAAGCTATTTGCGATGCAAAGAGCTTAACTTTTAATGATTTATATAATAGATTATATACTAAGGAGGGAGAAAGATATATGCATAAGTTAGCCAAACATAGAGATATGAGTAGTTAAGGATATAGTTCAAGTGAAATGTATTAAAGATGAAGATCAAAAAGTACTTTTCTTAGAAGATGATATTCAACAAAGATGGATGAGATATTTTGCTAAACTTTTTAATGAAGATTGTGAGAATACGATTGACTTTAGTGGCTTTTGCACCCTAAATGAAAATAAAGATATTTATTTTTATCGGCGTATTAGTAAAACCGAGGTTAGAGAGGCTTTAAAGAAAATAAAGTGCAAAAAAGCTGTTGGATTTGGTGATATTCCAATAGAGATGTGGAATGGTTAGGAGATGAAGGAATTTCTTGGCTTACTAAACTTTTTAATACTGTTTTGAAGACTAAAAAGATGCCAAATGAGTGGATAATGGATATGCTAATTCTTAATTTTAAGAATAAAGGTGATGCACAGGAGTGTGCAAATTATAGAGGAATTAAGTTGATGTGTCATACTTTAAAACTATGGGAGCAAGTTATGGAGCATTAGTTGCGGCGTGATACTAATGTTTCTCAAAATCAATTTGGATTCATGATGGGTAGGTCTACTATGGAAGCCATACATTTATTGAGAGGTTTGATGGAGAAATATAGAGAGAATAAGGAGGATCTACATATGATATTTATTGATTTAGACATATGATAAAGTTCCAAGAGAAGTGCTATGGAGAGTTCTTGAAAAGAAAGGAGTTAATAATGCTTATATTCAAATCATTAAATATATGTATGCAGGAGCTATTACTTGTGTTCAAACACAAGGTGGTTTGACCAAGCATTTTCCTATTTTATTTGGATTACATTAAGGATCAACCTTAAGCTCATATCTTTTTGCTTTAGTCATGGATGTTCTCACTAGACATTTGCAAGAGGATGTACCTTGGTGTATGCTTTTTGCTAATGATATTCTTTTTATTGATAAGACTAGAGAGGGAGTTGAAGGTAAACTTGAATTATGGAGGTCAACCTTAGAGTCTAAAGGTTTTCGCTTGAGTAGATCTAAAATTGAATATATGGAGTGTAATTTTAGTAGCAATAGACCTAATAAGGGGATTGTGACTTTGGGTGATCAATTCATTAATAAGAGTACACATTTTAGATATAATGGATCTATTGTTCAGAGTGATGGTGAAATAGATGGGGATATTATCAGCATAATTCAAGTTGGATGGTTGAAGTGGAGGAATGCATCGGGCTTGTTGTGCGATAGAAAAGTCCCCCTCAAACTTAGGGAAAAATTCTATAAGATGGTGGTGAGACCTGCAATGCTTTATGGTGCTGAATGTTGGCCATTAAAAGAGAAGCATAATACTAAGTTAAGTGTTGCAGAGATGAGGATGCTTAGGTGGATGAGTGGCTTTACCCTTAGAGATAGGATACAAAATGAACATATACGTGAGAAGGTTGGAGTAGCTCCCGTGGAAGATAAGATTAGAGAGAGTCTCCTTAGATGGTTTGGTCAGATTAAATAGAGGCTTTCCGATGACCCGGTTAGGAAAGTTGAGCTATTAGATTTGACTTATGTTAAGAAAGGTAGAGGTAGAACTAAAAAGGCTTTGTTAGAAAATATTAAAAATGATATTTCTTTATTAGATTTAAATGAGAATTTGACTTTTAACAGGACACAATGGCGAAAAAGGATTCATGTAGCTGACCCCATGTAGTGGGACAAAGGCTTGATATTGTTGTTGTTGTTGTTGTATCGAGTTACTAAAAGCAAACCAGTCCCAAGTTATGAAAACCTTACTTCAACTCAATATTGCGACTTTGGGAAGAGAAACAATGAAGAATATATGTCCAACAAAAAGGATTAGGAAGTAGGAAGAAGAATTGTGATGAGCTCTCTCCCTTAGGTTGAACTCTAGTCCCTTTTACACCCCCCTCAAAAGCAAACCAGTCCCAACTTATTAAAACCTTACTTCTACTCAACATCGTGACTTCGAGAAGAGAAACAATGAAGAATATATGTCCAACGAAAAGGATTAGGAAGTACGAAGAAGAATTTTGATGAGCTCTCTCTCCTTAGGTTGAGCTCTAGTCCCTCTTTATCCCTCTCTCTCTCTCTCTCACACACACACACACTCGGCCAAGCCTAAGCTCAGCTGCTTCCTATGCAACAAGCTTTGTCCTTGTTAGAATCCCAATCCCCCTCATCATAAAACTCGACAATCCTCTGGATTCCTTCTTTCTGAGGTAGTTTGATCCATAAGGTAGGCACTTTTCTGCTTTTATTTTGCTTTAATTTTCAAATTAGGGGTTCTTTCTGTTATTGTGTAAGTCAGTTAGTGAATTTTTGTTCTTTTGATTTTCCTAATAAATATACGTCAAATTTAGTTGAATGATTAGCTGATGAACTCAGAACTTTGCTGGTTTACTTGGGCGGTTCATTATGTTACTTAGTGCTTTTGCGGTTAACCTATCATGGGTTAAAAATTGTGTTTTTTTAATGTTATTGTTATTATTATTATTTTTAAATTGGGATACTTAATGCGTCATATCACAGCTTGAAATTTGTTTTGCCTTTACAAATGGGGAATTAGAAATAATTAGGTTGAAAAGATTGTGATTACTAGTAATTTGCAAGTTCAGAATTTGGAAGTAAACCTGAATAGGACTATAATTATAAGTTTTATGTGTTTGGTCAAGCTAGGAGAGGACCCATTATAAAAGCCTAAGCAAGAGCCAATGGTCAAGAAAATCAAAGACTCATCACAAGAGTTCATTCAAGATCAAATAATAAGTAGAATTTGGGAAAACATAATTTTAATTTAAATTTAAATTTTTAAATTTGAATGTTGAATTAAAAATTGATTTCTAACATCATATTTGTATTTTAAAATACCGTTGGGACATATAATGGCCGACCCAACTATGTCCTTGGAATGAAAAATGTATTAGATGCATGTAGATGTAATTCCTTTAATATAGCTGACACCTTCCCTCCGTTATTTCCTTCTTCCTTTTGAATCATGGTAGCACAAGAGTCATTGTAATGTCTATCTAAACTGCTGGAATGAAATAAAAACGGAAATTCTGGTTTTGTTAAAAAATTGTAATAGTTTTCCATTTTGGTTGGAACTCGGTGCCTTGCCCCCTTATTTATCTTGATGGGTTACTATTTTATCACTTTTTCTTGTGTTAGCTGTCTTCTTTTTCTTTTTGTCTTTTCCTAATTGTTACTATTAGTACTTGATTTCCCTTCTCTCTCACTCTCTCTAGAAACTTCAAGTCCCCAACCTCCATCCTTAAACCTACAAATACAAAAGGAAGCTAATCAATCGAACATGGTTCCCTTAGTCCTAGTCTTGGCATCATCACCTCCATACTCCTCTAAAGATCACCGACCTCACCATCAACTTTATATCACTTCGTCACATTCTAAACTAACCTTTCATAATCTTCTCTCACCATTTCTCCACCATAAACCTCCTCTACAAAAGTGTAGAGTCAAATCAACCTGAACTAGGTTCCTTTGACCTAATATTGGTATCACCACCACCATACTCCTCCAGAGCCGAACCCATCTCACTATCAACTCGATATCTCATCTCTACATCTTAAACTAACCCTCTATGGCCATTTCTATCCAGCTCTCCATCTATATCCCTCTACAAAAGTGATTAAACCTAAGCTAGGTGGGCTCAAATTTGGAGCCCTCCTAGGTCACCTAACTTTACAGCCTCTTGTCCATCTCTAACACGGAAATCCTATACCTCTCCTTCACATTCCTACAACCTTTAGACATCCCATATGGTCCCCTCTAAGCTTGGCTGATTACTCAAGGCTTCCCACCTCCAACAAGAAGCTTCAACTAGTTCTTGCACAAATTTAGCACCTTCTTTGACATTGTTAGAGAATGGAAAAGGTGAAGCACAATTGATAATTCCTATTGTTAAAGAGATTGCCACAACATCTTCTACGATGAGGTTGTGAATTTTGGATGGTGAGGTATTCTTTGTTAGGGCTTTGAGGAGGTGGGTCTCATGTAGTGGGGCAAAGCGATTTTCGCTAAGTGCTCTAAAGCCTTAAGCAATTAAAACACGAATTGGAGGGGAGCATGGGTGGAGTGAGTGGGATGAGGTTATTTACTGGGAGGAGCCTTGCGGCCTATTTTGTTAATGATGAAGGAGAGAAAGTTAGAGACGGGCATTAAGGTGTTAACAATGGTGGTAATTTTCTTGTACTTAAAATTTTTGAAATTTTAAGTGAAATGCAAGTAAATAGGTAGGTTTAGGGTTTACGAATATAATATAAAAGTTTTAAACATATTTTAAAATGAAGTGATATGATTTTGAAACATTTTAGGCTTTGCTTTATTTAAACATTTCTTTGCTGATACATAAATTATAATTGCAAATATTTCCGCTCTTGTAGATTTGCTTCTTTTGCTCTCTTGTTTGTGAAATAGATAAAAATAAATAAAATTTCACACACTAGGCATCCTCATCATCATTAGTATTATCATAACTATTTGTTCCTGTTGAGTGTTGTCTAAGCTGCTAAGTTTATTATTTGGAAATCAGTCCGAGCAACTTCCATCCATGTAATTTTAAGTCTACCCTTTATAATCCTTTGAAATTAATCTTATCAATTCATCTAATAGCTACATTTTTGTCTTTATTTTTGTATGTTCAAATCACTTATGTCTACTTTCAATCATCATATTTTCAATACATGCCACTCCAAAATTTCCTCTAATATAATAATTTATTAATTGATTCTTTGTAGTTTTTTCATGCACTTGTCTTAATATTTATGTAATGTGAAATATAAAAGGAATTGCATGAATTTAATAAAAAATGTTAAGCTTGCTAATTTTAATGTTTCACAAGATGAGATTCTAGGATTTCTTAGTTGGTTGTTTGCATTGGCATGCGATTACAAACTAGGTTAGAAGGGCAATTTAAAATAACAACAAAATTATAGTGAAGCTAGCTGCACAAGTAACATAAATCCACCGGTTAACAAATAGAAATTTCACCTTGAGTTTCTGATGGGGACATCAGATCGTGGAAGGTTTATTAGAGATGTGGCCGTCGATCTACAGTCACGATTGAGTCATTGTATTTCTGATTTGTTTTATGTATTTTTTATTTATGCATTTTCTTATTTATGATGTCATATTGTATTTGCTTTATTAGTTTCCCATTATACCCTTTTACTAAGGGAGATCGTATGTAAGCCCTAGGGACATTATCGTCATGTTATATTCCGAGTCATTGTAAGAGGCTATTTATAGCCCCATTGTTTTCTTTTGATGGAAGGAATAAATGATAAAGATTTTTCCTGTGCTTTGAGTTGAGAGAGTTTGAGAAAGGTTGGAGAGAGATCCCTAGGAGAGGGAATTGGATCACCCACCAATCTTGGAAGAGTTCGTATTCGTGGTTAGTTTTGAAATTCTTTTCTCCTTCTTCCTCCTCCCCTCTTTTCCCAACGACCACCTCCACCACCGGCCAACCACTAGCCCTTCTCCCCTTGGACCTTGGGATAATTTCTCTAGTCTCCCTCCTCACCCGATCCCACCCCACCTCGCCCAAACCCGGCGGCAAGCCCATTCAAGCCGCCGGCCTCCATGTGTTGTTCCTCTTTGGCTTGTTTCAAACCTTTCCATTTGGGTCTTCCTAGGTTATGAAACTTATTTAATTCAAATCCAAATTTAATGTTGGGTTGTTAGGTCCATGGGCCAGATCAATATTTGATGCTTCTATTCATCAAACATAACCCTATGGTCTGTTGCATTGGTCCAGATAGCTCAAATAATGATCTGGTGTGCTATGATATTTGTATTGCATTTTGTTTATTGTTTCTGTTACCAGGTTTAGGTATAATTCTGGGTTGTTGAATTGATTTTGTTTTTTTGTCGTTTTATGTGATATTTAATGTTTATTTTGGAGACTAATTTTTTCTTTGTTGTGTAGTTTGAGGGTGCATACAACCTTTTGAAAGATGCAAGGGAAATGAAGGTGATCGCAACAGCAGGCATGTATAATGCGCTCATGGCTGGGTATTTTAGAGAGGCAAGTTAGTAAACATGTACATATTACTGGCGATGTTTAAAACCTTTATTTTATTAAAGATTCATGCTTCAAAATCCAATATTTATTTTAATTTTTGTTAAATTATTACTGGGGAGTATTCTTCATGAAATTGTGCAAGTGATGTTTATTGGCTTTATAGTTCCTTGGGCTTTAGCCTAATTTGTTGAATTATATAAGTTGATACCAAAGCAATTCCACTTTCAAATATGGGGAGAGTAGACAAATGGTTAAAGCACCAAAGGGTTTAGCCAAATCCTGCAATACCATCCATTGTTTTATCTCCTAGCAGTTGCATTATACAGTCATCATCTCTCATCTCTTAGTGTGGACATACATTCCTGCTCCCTATAAACAAAGAACTCCCCAAAACCTAATGCAAGCGGATAGATTGATAATGTACTTGGATCAACTACCACTTTGGTGCAGTATGAGATGCTTTTATTCTATAAATTGATACAATTTGAAATTCTTCTATTAGTAAGCTTCTTTTGATCCATTTTTAAGTGCTACAGTTGTCAGTAGCGCTTGTCGATGGATATCATCAAATGCATTAGCAAAAAAAATTCAACTCATCATCATCATTATCATCATTAGTAGTCTTATCCCAATTATTTGTGGTTGGCTTTATTAATCTATTTTTCATTTGTTTTTTATTTAGTATTGCCTAATATGTTAAATTTTTTCTTCACAAATTATCTTAAATAACTATACATTTAATCTTAGATATACTACTTGTCATTACCCCATTTTGAGCCTCCTTACAATCAATCTAGAGTGTAACAGAGAAGGTGAATCTGGAGATATATTTCTTACTAACGCCTATCATGAAATACTTTTATTAGGATCAAGTGAGTAGGAAATTGTCTATCCATGCTATACCAAAACATCACGTTTTTCAGTTTTCAAATGGTATCAAGATTTCATAACTAGAAGCATATTTAAAACACATCATATAAAATGCCGAGCTTACTAACATCAAAAAATATTTACATGCCCAAAAGTGGTTGTACAACTTTTACTCTGATCTCTATTTACACCCAAAACATATGTACACAAAAAAAGCAGTCAACCTTCCTGCCTAATACCCCACAGTCAACCTTCTTGCATAATGCCTCACTAGCTCCTTTTCTTTTTTTGCAATACAACCACTGCTAATGAGCTTGAGCTCAAAGAAATACAGAAGTAATGTATAAAAAGTAATAAACATGTTTGCAATCAATTGGAAATAATATGAGAATTCTATTATAAGCATAAACTGTACAAAACATAATTTCCTGTTATGTTTACTGTTCAAATGTTTAGACATGTCATATGATGACTATAGGCTTTCGCACACTTACTGGTTTTTCATTCAAGTTTGAGTCCATATTCTCAACTTTTAGAATTGTGTGCAATTCTCTTATTCATAATTTCAAACTTTTAGAATTGAGATATTCGGGCTTACTTCGTCGGGTCTTTCGCCTTTACATGTGCGGGCCTTCCCCCACATATAACTTATCTCATTTACCTTTTTAATCCACTTCACATTTGATAGCAATCATACAAAATTTGCTATTGCAATACAAGCTTGATGAACCAGTAATGAGATACGAAATGAAACTAGAATTAATGCTCATATTCATATAAAATATGAGGTTGCTAGTATAATAAATGTTACTATTTCCTATACCATAGTTTGAGTATCTCACCTTGTTCTCTGGGGTAGTCGGGTGAATTTGTTCTCCTACAGTACCCCGACCTCCTTTTCTCGTATATACAACCTCAAAAAGATTTCTACTCATTCAGTACTTGCCCTTCCATTTTCTTATTGTTTTCTGCCCACATCCATTGATTTCAGTTTATTGTTTTCTGCCAGCATCCATTGATTTCAGTTAACTGCTGCAGATAATCACCTATTTTCTTTACCAAATTCAGCAAACGGCAATTATAACAACCCAATTTCAGCAAACAACAATTATAGAAGCCCAAATTCAGCAAACAACAACTACACCAGCCTATAAATTCAGCAAACAGCAACAATAGCAATCACTACAGCCCTTATTTGAATTTTATTACCTTATGTTTCTAAATTTTTCCCTGAGCTCTCTCACAGCTCGCAGCTCGCTGCAGCACGCTCCAGCTTTCTTTGCCCTTCAGCTCGTGGCCTGCTTCAAATTCCGGAGATTGGATAATAAAGTGGCGGGGTGGGAAAGCAATAGAATGGGCTAGCTGAACTTAGCGAACTATATAATAATATAAAAAGTCTGATGCCTTCTCCACTAACATCTTCCTACGCAGTCTCAGCCATTTGATTACTGCCCGAGTGATTAGCCAATGCATGCATCTACCATAAAAAAAGTTAACTATTGATTAATTATTAATTTGTTTTAAATATTAAATAATTATTAAATGAATACCTGCACCTATATTCTATTAAACTGGTATTTTAGATATACTTCTATATGTCAAATTGATAAAAAAAAGAATTTAATAAAAATTAATTTGACGTTTTAGGGAGGAATGATAAAATGGAGTAATTTAGGAAATAATTATGTCAAAAGTATTAAGCTTACATTTTGAAATTTTGGGTATTATACTACTAAAATTTTCAATTATCATGTTTGCAATAGTTATCACTCCAACCATTCATCTTATATAGTCATTACTTAATTTAACTTTATTTTGCCATATATTCATACATATCATTGTGATTTCTACCTAAGTTAATATAAATATCAATGTTTTTTTAACTGCCAACACTTGAATCTATATAATATTATCGGTTTAACTGCATTTTCTAAAACTTATCTTAAAGGTTTCAATATATCTTCTTATCACATAATACTCTTTAGAAACTTCTCTATTTCTACAATTTAGCTTTCACTTTAAAAGTAAAGTTGGTGTTGAAAGTCCTATTTTAAAAGTCGAATCCTCCTCTTAAGGAGAAATTATTGTGTACGTAATCCGAACACGTTCGGATGCTGCGTATTTACTGCTTATTTGTTGCGTATTTTTTTATACAAATTTTTTTTGTGCCAAAAAATAACAAATAAATAATACTCACTAAATACTCACTAAATACACAATAAATACGCAAAAAATACGTAGAAAAAATTAAATACACAAAAAATACGCAACAAATAAGCAGTAAATACGCAGCATCCGAACCTATCCCTGCGTTTGGACTGCGTACACAATAATTTCTCCCTCTTAAGAGCGGGAGTTGACAAGAAAAATGAGATAAATTCCGAAGTAAATGTTTTTAACAAATTGGTTTTAAACTCATGCTCGCTGTTTGGTCAAGCAAACTCACACCATTAAGAACTAGGAACTAAATCCTTGGTTGCGAGTACTAGCTAAATATTTTTATTTTAAGTTATTATTAGGCCTTTAAAGCCTTTTACGAAGCAAATTCATTTCAGACTCTTCATGTCGTAACCACAAAGAACAATCTTAAGTGAAAACCGTAAACCTGATCCCTTGTATGCAACAAGTATAGGCTGTATAGTCGATAAGATCTAAAGCAATAAATTGAAATCATTCTAAGACCTTGATGATGATCATTCTAAAAGTGTATATCAACTGGAAGGGATTTTTTTTTTAAACACCCCTAAATTCCAATGCAAATCATTGGGCATAAATCCTTATAAAAAAAAAATCATATATGTATATAAAATACAAAAATACTCAAATGAAATTGTTTTCCTCAAGGTTAAAACTAGAATTTTTTCACGCTCCCTAACAATTTAATGATGTTTAAAATTTATGATTAATATAAGCTCACAAACAACCAATATTATATTAAGTGTATCACGATGATCACTTTCAAATGGTTTTAATCTTAAAGGGATGTGGCACCTTATCTCCAATTGGGATGGTTTCGCCGCCCATTGATACCCCTAGATAATGATTATGACCTAGGCCCTATAGTGGTTAACCACAAAATGATACCTTTAAATTATGTACATGACCAAAGCCCAGATGTCTCCTAATGGCTTCTGCCCCCAATGAGTTGCCAATTAGAGGGTTTGCTTGATTGGGCACTAAGTTCTTTGTTAGCTAAAGCCAACTTAAAATCATTCCCATGGACAAGCATTCACCCTAGATCTATAAGACCCTCTTGGATGAAGCAACCTATGACTGCCCACAAGGATCATTTCGTTAGGTTTGGTTAACTACCTTTGCTGACTAAGTAAACTAGTGGAACGATGGAATCATGGGATATTGAGATCTTGATTTGTTCATAATCATTTCTCCATCGTTTGTTCTAAGCTAAAGGTGAAATTTTTTTGAATCTACAGCTCAAATCATTGTTACTATAGGCTATACTTTTATCCCATATTGATTAACTTTTATTAGATGTTTTTTTTTTTTTTTAAATTTTATCAAGAGGGGTTATTAACTAAAGTTGCTTGTGCCTATGGGAAATTGTGAACTAAGATATCAATGTCTTTGCAAAATGAGGGTAAAATATCTGGATAGTGTCTTCCTTGCAATTTAATTTGTCTTCTGAAAATTTGACTTAAAACCCATTCTTTTAGAAAATCGGGTACGAATTTTTAATGACCACAATTATGGCAGTTCAAACTCATCTCTTGTGCTCATCCTCCCTTGCATGACCTTGTGTATGTCTCTGGCCTCTTTTCAACTTTGCTTTTCCAATGCCTCTTCTATTGTTGTTGGAAACCCATTTTTTATTTTTAGTATTAGGAAGGAGAAAAAAGCAATCATGTATAATAATGATTCTAGTGAAGGTCCTCTAAGTGGTGAGAGTAGAGGAGACTTTTAAATTCATAAATTATGACTATTTGTTTAAGTTGAATTAGGAGTAGGAGAGACTATTCATTTAGCATTATATGTAATCTTCTGTGATTTTTAATAATCTTTGACTTTTTTATGATCCTACTTTATCATTATACTTTAATGTTAGTATGTTACTTATTATTTCATATTTTTATTAATTTAAATGTTTAATTATGAGGTTTAAAACTCAAAATGCTTGGAGGCTAATGCCTTGCCTCAGCGAAAGATAATGCCTCAATATTGAATTGCGCAATTTCGAATCTATGGACTCCTATCCATGCTTCTTTGAGTCAAATTGAAATTCATGGACAAATTATGATCACGCCAAACCTTTGAGCTCTTGTTGGTCATGTCTAATGCCTTTGAACTGTAAGAGGCCATGCCATGTGCCTTTAAGATGTTTAGTGAAGCCGATTTGATCAACCCTCTACATGTAAATTATTTGCATCAACTCGAAAGAACATATTTGACACTTGCATCTTTCTTTGTCTACTTGGATATGGTTGTTAATTTGACTCTTTGAATGTTATGGCTTATCTTCGCATGCTGGCATACTTGAACCGCTACTAGAACTGAGATGACGAAATCACATGATCTTATTCAGATTAGCTTCTAACCTCCAACCAATCCTCCTTAATTAACTTCAAACCAAAATGTTGAATCTAAACCTAAAATATTAATCTAAAATAACCTATTTAATTGAGAGTGGTCTTATATGAGTTGGTACAGATAATTAACTAAGCTGGCTTGTGCCCATAGGAAGGCTTGAACCCATATTGTAATAAATCTTGATTTTATGTTATGGTATATCAAGTTAAATAAAAAGTATTCTACCTTAGGAGAATATGACTCCCAGTTTTGCTCACATACATCAAGGAGGCCCAAAGCAGGGATTTGCTATTCTTGAGTGATCATATCCTTGCTTTGCTCTCTAGATCAAAAATCACCATCATAGCAGGTCCTGGCAGTTTTCATGGAAAAAAATTATGTTTTTCTATTTCCTCCTATGCTTAGTTGCAGCAGATCTTCTATTTTCCACTTTTTTTGATGTAATTTATACTACTGAAATGACCAGAAACCACCAAAATGTACATTTTTGTAATGAAATTTCTTCTGAACAACAGGAAACCACCTAAAATGGGCATGGATTTTAAATGAAACTTATTCTAAAATCACGTTTATTTTATTTGTATTTAAACTAAATAATATTTTTGTTTTAATGCCATGTTGTTTGAATGATTTTGTTTTCCATTGAACACCGTGTGCTTTTCATATCTGAACACATCGTATCTTTAAAATTAGTGTTTATTATGATAGAGAATAGTCTGATGACATTCTAGTTAATGTTTAGTGGCTTTGCTAATTGGATTAGTTATTTGTAGCACGGAGAAATGTGCGAAGAAATATTGATATCCTTCTAAAGTCATAGGTATAATCTGATGTAAAATGCTTCTATCAAGCAGCTGCCTATCAAGATTATTACAGGCGTTTTTATGGATATCTTGTGAAACCCCTGCAATTTAGGGCACTTGGGAAGTGAGGCTGCTTTCTATTAAGGGCCATATTTCATTTAACTCAGATGCTACCAACTGGTTTCAACAGCAGGCTGTGGAATGCTATAGATGAGATGAACTGTTCTTTTCAAAATGATTCCAGATTTTCTTCGTATCTTTGTTTTCATAGTGAAGAATGCCACGTTTTAGCTTATTCTTTCGAAGAACCTAGCCCTAAACAAAGACTGTTGACATTATTATTTCTTATATAATTATTCATGCCTAATTCTTGAGAAAATAAACTTTATGATAATGGAGAGAGCCAGAGAGAACTGATGGAGAGGAGATAGTTTTTGGGGAGCAATTGAGTGAGGACATTAGAGACTGTTTGAATACGAATACTGGTTTATTGGGGCACCAAGAAGGATAGAAGGAATCAGGTTTGGAGTGGTTTTTTGGTGATAGCATGAAGATTTATTCATTGGTTTTTCTTATTTATAATATGCTACAGGTTGGGGAGGGGTGAAACAGCTTGAGAATACAGATGATGATGTGCTAAGGGATGGAGAAGCAGGGAGGAAAGATATAATGATTTAGAGAATTTAGAGCTTGGGGATGGATATAATGGGATGTAGTGTTTGAGTAGTGGAAGGAGCTATGTATGTGAATATCTCAGCAGGCAGCATTTTGCAGTGCTTCAAGAGTATGAAGGCTAACAATAGGATTGTCTGCTGGCGGTAAGGTGGAGATTTTGGTGCATGCTTAGTTAGCGTTCTCTTGTAAATACCCTACTAATTAAAAAATGGAAGTCCCTAAATCGGCAGCCATAAACTCCTATTGATTTGAGAAATTTTGATAGCATGGTTAGTTGTTTTTTGAAACTTAATTTAGGTTTTTGGTTTTGTGCTGCTTAGGAAAACCTACAATTATGTACTCTAGACATCCGTGTGAACTACCTAATATGAATTCTAGTATCAAATACTCAAATGAATACATCTGGGAAATACTTATGCTCGATGGCTTATAGAATAGTTTAGATAGTCAACTATAGTTGCTTAGGTATTCTTCTTACAATTTTCTATACGGCTTTCATTATGATATACTCGGTTTGAAGAGTTTTATAGAACCCAATTTCTTCTTCAGATGTACTTGATTAGGAACATATATATTTATGGACTTAGCATGAGTTCACTACTCTGTTCCGAGAGCACATTCACCTTTTTTTCCTCCATCTGCAAATGTTAAGTGCACACTTGTGATTTTTACCTGCATTATAGCTATAAATAGAAGCTGTTTACTTCGAGGTGGGGCTTCTCTTGGCTTGTTGAATGATGTCAAGAACACTATGAGTGGGTCCGGATAGCTAACCTATTCAACTTCAGGTTTTTCAGCTGTTGTCATTTGACCAAGTGATTGCTAGAATAAATTACATTTTATCAATGAAAGCATTTTCCAGCACTACCAGCTTACACTGAAGAAATTACTATCTTGAACTTGAAAACTTTTTGCCAATTCTCTGAAGGAAAAGAATACATTTTAATGTTCTTCTTTAAGAACCTATATGAAGCATGATGAAAGCTTTTGAATCTTGCTTGTGGTTTGCAATATGCATTGTATTTGTTTCTTTGTGTAATGGAGAGCCGATTGAAGTGAGTACTTTAGATTGTTCTAATGTTCGATTTTTTTTTTTTTTTGTGATTCCTATTTGAGTATATCTGAGCCATGCTAATGTTTTACTAGATGGTCTAATTTAAGCTTTATTGACGAACTTTGATTAGAAAAACAATCATGGTGCCTTGATGGTTCTCCAGCAAATGCAAGATTTGGATATTAAGCCAGATTCGGAGACTTACAGTTACTTGATATCCAACTGTGGAAGTGAAGAGGATATTGTCAAGGTTTACTTATTATGAAACTTTTGTTTCACTGTATCCTTTTCTTCTATTACAACGTTATAAGTTTTCTTTTCTTAGTCTTATGAGTTTCTTATGAATATCTGAATATCTAGTTAAGATTGATTTTCTTAAAGTACTGTTTCTTTAGTTGTTTATTTTAACTCTTCCATCCAAAAACATAAATGAAAATAGTTATCTTTCTATTTGCTTTGTCTGCATCCTTGTAAATTGCCTCTAATACTCTCTGCCCCTATTAAGGATAGAAGCTTTCCTTTGAAATTGCAGAGACTTAAATCGATCTGGAAACTCATGTCCAATTCGATTCGTCTGGATTTGTATGCACTAAAACAAACCCGTGAAGTTTCAAGTTTTATGTTTCTATTTATGATGGCCTGCATGGGAAGAAACTTTGCGGCTATAAGAATAGATGCTCTAGCTAGGGTTTAGGCAAGCGATTTATATATTTCTTATTCCTCATCAACATACCCTCTTGATGACTAAGATTCTTGTATATAAGTTTGGTAGAAGAAGAACTACATAAATCTTCGTGTTCTTTGTGTTGTGTTCTTGTTCTTATCTATGTTTACTTTAGACACCATTCTTAATTCTAGTTACGGTTCTCCTTTGAGTTATTTGGCATCATCATTTTAGTGGTGTCAAAACAGGTCTCAATAGGTCGGGTTTGGGTCAGACCTAAAATTCACCTAATTCGAGTATGGTCAACCTGAGCCCTACCTATTTAATAAACGTGTAACAAATGTGAACCCGAACACAACTTGCTATCAATCTGATAATCTGTTTTATTTAAAAATATTTTTATTAGCTTGTTAATCATAGATTTTAAATTAATTGACAAAAAAATAAGAAGATTATAATAATAAATAAAAAATTAAGAAAAAATATCAATGAGTCATTTTTTGGTCAAAATCAAGTTGGCGAGTCAACACAAACTCGACTCATTTAATAAATGGGTCGGAATGTACGATCCTAACCCGACCCATTTATTAAATGGGTAAACCAAACCTAGATTTTTCAGCTCGGGTCATTTATTGACACCCCTACGTCATTCATGAAACCACTTCAGAGCTAAGGTTTTGTTGATTGATGGTTATGAAGGTCCAGATTGAGAAATTTGATTTGTCAAATAATTGTCCTTTAGAGAACTAAATGATGTTTTGTTTTTGTGCAACTATATCTCTTATAGGTAGTTACGGGGCATTTGAAGACGCCTTTGATTGTGAGGGCTTTTATTAAGCATTTGAAGGTGCATGTGATGATGTATGAAGATGAAGAATCGAGATGGATGAAAAAGCACTTATAACTTTATAAGGTGTGGATGAATGTTTTTAGAGGTGATAATTCCTTATAGTTTATGGTTTAAGCTGAAATTATTGTTCATGATCATAACCCTTTCGTACAAAGTCTATTTGAAGCTATGTTGCATGTGATGGGTGGACAGATCCACAAAGAAGACCACTTATCAACTTCATGGCTGTAACAGAGAGCTATCCTATGTTCATCAAAGCTGTAAACTGTGAAGGACAATACAAGGATAAGTTCTTTATTTCTAATTTAATCAAAGAAGTTATCATGATGATGGGGCCTTCAAACATCATCCAGGTCATTACTGATAATGCACCTGTTTGTAGAGCTGCAGGTCTACGTGTAGGGCAAGCTTATTCTCATATTTTCTGGACACCATGTGTTGTGCATATGCTTAATCTTGCCTTGAAGAACATTTGTGCAGCTAAGAATACCGAGGCAAACGAAATCACCTACAATGAATGTCATTGGATAATAGTGATTGCTGGAGATGCAGTTGTAATTAGGAATTTTATTATGAATCACTCCATGAGACTCTCTATGTTTAATGATTTCTCTAATTTGAAGATGCTTGCTGTTGCTGAAACTTGGTTTGCCTCGGCTATAGTGATGTTGAGAACAACAACAACAACAACAACATCAAGCCTTTATCCCACTACGTGGGGTCGGCTACATGAATCATTTTTCTCCATTGTGTCCTATTAAAAGTCAAATTCTCGTTTAAATCTAATAAAGAAAGGTCATTCCTAATATTTTCTAACCAAGTCTTTTTAGGTCTACCCCTACCTTTCTTAACATAAGTCAAATCTAATACCTCTACTCTCCTAACCAGGTCATCGCAAGGCCGCCGTTTTATGTGACCAAACCATCTAAGGCGACTTTCTCTAATCTTATCTTCTACTGGAGCTACTCCAACCTTTTCACGTATATGCTCATTTCGTATCCTATCTCTAAGGGTAAAGCCACTCATCCACCTGAGCATCCTCATCTCTGCCACACTTAACTTAGTATTATGCTTCTCTTTTAAAGGCCAACATTCGGCACCATAAAGCATTGCAGGCCTC